GAATTTCTTTTAACTGCTTCTTCTTAAGCACACTGGGCCCTTTACATTGTCTTTTGTATTCAGATACTGCTCAGTCCTAAGTCAAGATTTGGGAAAGGAAAGCAAACCCAAGAGCCCCACCAACTCCACTTCCTGCTTTGATCAACTGTTGAACATCCCAAGCCTTGCTGAAAGTTCTACCCCAGCAGTGGAGGATGTTGAAACATCCAGAATTAGAGCCTGTCCTGGTCCCCGTTTTGCAATGGGCTTCTTCTTCTCAAGTTCCCTTCATGATGTGCAGTCTGCAGCACTGCAGGTCATGTCAACATATGACGGAAATGAGAAAAGCCTGAAATGGCCAATGACCATGACGTGGCTACTTGTTCTACCGGGCTTCCTTAATTGCTACCAGAAATGGAGCTAGTGATGAGCAGAGAGGTGTGTTCTTGCATTCTCTAATCTTGAACCAGAGCTCTTACCTTCCTCCTCTTCCTATGGCTTAGCAGAGAGCCCTGTTGCAGAAATGTTCCTACATGAAAGCAACATTAGGAGGAAGGCCAGTGCACAGGACAAGTGTGGGAATCATCCTGGGAACCAGAGGGAAGAAAGAGCTGGTGGTAGCCCACCTACAAATAGCTTGCTTTCTTCTTCCCCGTCCCCCTTTGGTTTAAAGTGTGCTAATAGCAACAGAGAAATGTTTTTGTCTTGTAAGGGGACACAGTATGGACTCAACAGAAGAAAAATATTAACCACGTTGATGGAAGAAATACTATATTCCCGAAAGCGGAAAACTGAAAACATTAGACCGATTTTTAAATTTCCAATATTCTTACTGCTGGCTCCAAGGGTTTCTCCATTCCCATTTCTCTTGTTGCCTCTCTGTAATGTTGTATAGCTAAAAGAGCATTTAATGTTACAATTTAATGGTTAGAATATGTAGTGTATTCAGCATAAATGATGAGGGATTTCTTTAACCACCATGTTAAGGGGTGAAGACATCTTAGCACTTTTCCTATCACTTTTAACCAACTGGCTTTCAGTGGAGAGTGATGTCCAGAAACAAAAAGAAGGAATCTGACACTTTTATAAAACCCTTCAAATGAATTGCTGGATTTGCATTTCCAATGTGGGAAACCCCCAGTGTTTGATAACTAGGCGCCTACTAAATGTTTGATTGTCTGTTTATTTATTTAATATAGCCGCCTATCTCACACAAAGTGACTCTGGGCAGCATACAACAATGTTGTATTGTTTCACCATTGATTGTGCCATTAAGCGCACACATAGATAGATTTTCTCTATCACTGTTTTCACCATGGTTGGGTGTAATTGTCTTTATGGTTTGCATTTAATAAGACCTATGCTGTCACTGTAATTTTTCTCACCTGGTTTATTGCTGTTCTCTTTCAGGTGAAATGTAGTGTAGGAATGAACATCACAAGTGCTATAGCATCATTAATTGGCATCCTGCTGTGTATATCAGAGCTGACCGCTAATGGTATTTTTTCTCAATATGACCATCCATATTGGACTGACTGGGCAAAAGTAAGTAAACCAATCTGCTCTAGAAATATGGCTTCATGTGCAGAATGCAGAAGGAGATTATGTATGCAGGAGAAGATAAATACACTTATTAAAATAGTATACAGTATATAAAACACAGGAGTCTAAAAAAATCTAAAAGGAGGGGTAGGAGCATAGTATAGATTTAGCCTGGCAAGATTCTGTCCATATGGTGCAAGCAGATAAAGGAACTTAATTCAACTGGACTGTTTCACCATTGTTTTTGGGCTGGCCCTGACATCAATCTTGCCAGACTAAATGTGTACCACTGCAACTAGGGGATATATCCTGGGAGATTCTAGGGAATGGCTATCCTGAGCCTCTTATGCTTCCCATGCTCCCCCTGTGGATTGTGTTGTCTTTTGTCTCCTTTCCTTTCCTGGAATGCACCCCCTCCTTCCCGATAGCCTTCCTCTCTGTGCTATCCACCACAGTATGCTTTCCTTATCTTATTTTAAAAATCTTTCTTTCTGGTTAAAAATAAAGTTGCCATGAAACTTTGCTTTAAACAAGTGGGGCCATTCTGCACCCTTCAGACTTTATGTGGGTTTTCATTACCCACCATAGTTTGCCCCAACCGTGTGAAAAGAAGTAGCCCAAGACGTGTTGCCTCTTCTCAAGAAAGGGCATTTCCTGTTCT